TATAGATGGTAGTTATATGAGTATTGATATTACCAAAGTCAACTTCTGTTTCAAAATATTTGTGACAAGAAGTTGAAAAGGCTTCTAAAGTGTTAAGCAGCATACAGGCTCCATGGGATATGTGAGTCTCTTCACGTCCATCCACAGGGCAGAGGCTGCCCATAATGTGACATGCACCAACCTGAGACACCAAAAATCATGGGGGTGCCAGTAGAAGGTTGGCTATCATCTTCTTAAACTGCTGTTGATGAAGATAACCCAGCCCAGGATCAGCCACCATTAGAGGCCCACATCAGCCTCACGGCACCCACAGCACCTGACACACTAGCCATGGGGACCAAGATCCTGAAAGGTTCCTAATAGTGCAGGTATTGGGGGACACGAGAAAATGCTGAAGGAAGGGCACAAACTGCCAGAGAAAATATGAGTAAGCACTGAAGATCAAAGTGACAATAGGTAACAATGTCACCCTGTCTGTCTGAATTTGCTTAAGAAGATCTTAAATGTTCTAACACCACACACACACACACAGACAACTAGGTTAGGTAATAGAGGGTGTTGTTAACCTGATTGTGGTATCCACTGCCCAATGCATTTACATATCAAATCAAGACAATGTAATGTAAATATACATGATTTATTTGTCAATTATACATCAATAAATTCAAATCAGAAGAACATAGAGAAATTGGTAGAGGCTCCACACCATAAAATTCTATCATCAAATTAGACTTTAGGAATCTAAGAATGGACATAGAGGCTGGAGTGCTTCCACATATTCACAAAGGATCCTGTAGAGTCTCTGGTATATGGGAAATTCTCATTATATAAAGAATAAAGGATGAATAAATAACTATATAAGAGGACCAGTATTATCATATGGATAACTGTTGGCTGCCTGCCTAAATTTCTAAATTTCCACAAGAAGGTCTTTCCAGGTGTCTGTGTAATGCTGGATAAAAATGCAATCCATGTCTATGGAGAATGCTTGATTCATAAGTATATTTTCTTCATCTGACAAACTGACATCTGTTCACCACTGCAAGGGACATCATTCCAGCCCCAACTAGAATATTGATGATTTATTATAACGCATTGTTCATTGTCATTGTCGGGGTCACATGGTTGCCAGAACCTGGAAGGGAGGAAAGAGCATCAGGGTGTTTCCCACAGTGATGCTGGGAAAGAGAAAACAAGAGTAAGCAAGAAGAGGATGCGGTGGGAATTTGTGGAAAGCAGATTCAGGTGTGTACAAA